CAAACCTTCAGATATTTACTCAAAATTCACCTTCTCAGTAATGACTTTGTACTTAACAAAATTTCTAAAATTTCATCACATCCAACACATACACACACATGCACACACACACACACACACACAAAGTAATATTCTTCCCTGCTTTGGTGTTTTCTCCCTAGCATGTATCACTTTTGAACATACTATGCATTTTACTAATTTTTGTGTTTATTGTCTATCTCTACCAAGAAGGTAAGCTCCATGAGGACAAGGATTTTTCTCAATCACTGCCATATTCTTCACACCTAGGACACTGAATATTTGTTGAAGGCAAACTATTGTTTTGTAAGTGTCTCATTTTGTTCATTCTCTCTTACAATACAGTCTACTTTTGAAATCAAACTCCAGCACACAGCTCTTATTCTGAGCTGTAGAACATTCACAACTGAATTCCTTATTCTCTCTAGTTCTGCAAGAGATCTTACCAAACTCTATCATTTTTTCATTGTTTTTAAGTCAAGGGACAAGTTTAAAATCTGTCTCTTTTTTCACCATATGGGCAGGCAGAACAGGCTACATAATTTGTGAGGTTTCATGCAAAATGAAAATGGGGGGGAGTGCCTAGTTCAAAAAGTATTAAGGATTTCAAGATGGTGATAGTAGAGCATTAAACCAAGCAGAAGGCCCTACACTACTGCACAGATCACATGCTCATGTTGCTGGCCCTATCAACAGGGTTTTGTTAGAGTGAGATTTCTGAGAATTTACAAAAGAAACCGGGGGTTTAATGGTCAAGAGTCTCCTTTCATGTTTCCTCATGTCCATGTCCCCTGATGAGTCTGTTTTGTAAAGATTTGAAGATTCTAAAGTTGAATACGATTTTAAATAATACATTATATAAACTACATAAGACTGCTTATTCTGGTTCCAAAGGGAATTTTGGGTTATATGAATTTCCATCTAGTCATAATTACTTATTATGACATTAGCTCATCCAATTATTACTATATAATAATTCAAGATTAAAAATCTCAACATTGTGAACCTTTTAGGACATTTATTTATCTCATATATAAGCACTATTTAAAGGAAAAAGTCAGTTAAAGATATTAATTCAACAATAATTTATTAAAAATTTATATATGAAAATTATGGTGCTTGGTTTTTTTTAAAGAAATTTAGGCATTATAAGACAGGAAAGAAGGCTAATTTGCCAGAAATAAAGTTTCCTGAAGCTAATTAGCCAAACAATGAGTTTGCTGAATAATCAGTTTGTTAAATTTGTCAAATTAGATGACTATAGTTTAATACAAATATTTACCAGCTTTAATAGAATTATTTGATTTAGGTTGCTGATGGCAATATACATAGAAAATTATATATGCATATATAATATTAAATATCATATATTATATGTATATGTTATATAAACATATTAAATGTATACAAATAGTTGCACATACTTGTGTGTGTGTGTGTATACACACATAACTTGTTCTAAGAAAACTAAGTATGAAAGGAAGTGAGGCTATCTGGAAAGGACTCCAATAATGGATCAAGTAATTAGTATGGTTTAAGTCGAAAAATAAAATAGGACACAATAGGAATAACCATATTATATTTTGAATGTTGTATGCCATTTGCTGGTTGATATGCTATCTGAAAATTTGGTGAAAGAATCTTTAAAACGTTTGGTAAAACAGAAATCCACATAAAAAGGTTCCTAATCACTTTATTAATATATCCAAAACTTAGTTTTCCTCTTGGTTATAAACTATATAAATTCTTTCTACAGAAAAGTCTACCTACTTCAATGGTTCCTCATTAGAAATTACACCTTCAGCATATTATATGGGACAGATTTTTTCACTACTTCTGATTTCTTTCCTAATGCTTTCAAATGACATTTTCTACTTTTTAAATATAAACATTTTAATATTCTTTTAGTATCATTTAACCTATTCCTCATCCATTTTAATTTATAAATTCAAAATCATCTTAAGAATATCACAATTTTCACTTAAATTGCATTTAAATTACATTTTAGTAAAATCACCCCAAATTTAATTTAGGTTAACTTAACTTTAATTTAAAAGCAATACACACACACAAAATAAAAACTAGCCAAAACAACTTCATATAAAAATTCCCTCATTAAATTTTGTTTTGGGTATTAATATTGAAAAATACAGTTACGCATTTCATGGATGACAACCTAAATTAAATATTTTTATTAATGCTGCTAAATTATTCTTGGTAAAGCTACTAAGCATTGCTACTCAATATTACAATATTTTAATTTAGTAAATCTAAATTAATTGGCAAGTTCATTCAATTACCTGATTTTCTGCACATTGGCCTGCTTCCAAAGAGATGAGAGGAAAGGGTGCATAGAACCTACCAGAATGCCAATTTTCTGGAAGAAGATGGCAAAAAAAAAATACGAGATAGAAACAATTAGAGATCTAGGAAAAAACCTAAGAGTATTCAGAGGAATGGAATTTCAAGAAAGATGTCAACAATGTTGCACTTGCACAATGTCAAGTGCAACAGAAAATTCCAAGATAAGTAAGGTCATTGATACCTTTGTAAGCACTATTTTCAGTAGATTGGTTACTTAAGGAGTCAGTTTGAAAAAAATCATAAGATGAATATAATTAAGCAGATTATAACAAAATTATTTTCTTAATCCCATCTAGATAGATATAAAGTCCAAAAAAAGCAAGGACCTAATTTTATTTATTTCTTATCTTAGGATTCTTTCTTCTATTTCTTCTCTGTTCCCTCCCAACTAGAGTTGTCAGATTTAGTAAATTAAAATATAAAAAGCTGGATTAAATTTGAATTTCGGATAACTCTGAACAATTTTTAGTGTAAGTATGTCCTAAAAGTTGCATAAGATATACTTATGCAAAAAAAAAAAAAAGATGTGTTATCTTAAATTCAAATTTACCTGGGTGGCCTGTATTTTATCTGTCAACCCTACTCCCAACCTCTATCCTTTCCCCATCCCTCAGCAGGTACTTAGGATAGAGCCTGGAACAGAGATGGCCCTGTAGAGTGGATGAATGAGTGGGTGGGAGGTGACTTTGAACAAGGTGTTTACTAATGGAGGCAGCTCTCTCAAGAAGTTTAATAACAAGAAAATTGGAGACTTTGCCTTAATTAAAATGAGAATAAAGGTTCTTTGATTTTAGTTTTTAAATAACGAATACTGTATATCTTTCTTGGGGAAGGGGAGAGGGAATTAATGAGAAGCAAGAAAAAGGGAATATTGTTAGAACAATAATCAGAAAAATGGAAGGGGAAAGGTTTTCACACAGAGCACAAGTGGGGGACTGACCACCTCACGCCACATTATGGAGGAAAACTACTTCTTGAACGAAAGCAAATGAAACAGTGAACAAAGAGAATTTATAACTTTCTATTTATGAAAAATTTTAAGCATACACAAAAGTGGAGAGGATCACACCTACACCTAAATACAAAAATTGTTTAAAATTGGCCAGATTTCCTTTCACCATGATATTTTCCTTTCAAACCATCGTGAAGTAAATTCCAGACATCGTGACTCTCCAACCCCAACAACTCGGCATGTAATTCCGTAACATATCCACTATTATATCTAACAAAATGAACACTTCCATATCTTTTAGTAACTGGTCCATATTCCATTTCAATTTCTAATTTCCCTAATTGTTCTCTAAATGTCTTTTAAAGCTTTTTGTTTTGTTTTGTTTTTTTAATTTTTTTTTATTTTGGCATATTATGGGGGTACAGATTTTAAGGTTTCAATAAATGCCCATTTCCCCCCTTACCCCCAAAAGTCTGAGTCTCCAGCATGACCATCCCCCAGATGGTGCACATCTCACTCGTTATGTATGTATATACCCGCCCCCCTCCCCCCTCCCACCTCCCCAATACCCTATTACTGTAGCACCTATGTGTCCACTTAGAGCTTTTTGTTTTTTTGAGCCAGGATCCAATCAAAGCTTACTTATTGTATTAGGCTGATGAACTTCTACATACCTTCTAAGAACACAGAACGTATAAAAATGAAGAACCTGCAAGCTAGGGGTGGGTGGAGTGCCTCGCCTTTTAATAGAGTAGGAGCAGGTGGGCAGTCAAGAAGTCAAGAGTCCATGAGGTTAGGACAGTAAGAACAGTGGAGAGGATTTGGAATAGCCCCTGGGGAGTATTCAGTAGGTGATGATAAACTGCAGCTCTGTGAGGTCAGGGACCCCTGGTTCCCATTCCTCTGCTGTCTAGCATCCCCAGAAACGGGGCGACAGTGCTGGGCCTCCCTCCATGCCAACGGTAAGCCCTCCCCAAAGTCATCTGAACTGGAGGCTGTCCGAGGATGAGAGCGCCTGGTCTGCAATCATTCTGGAGTCTTCACTCTGCAATTAGGTGTATGGCCTTAGGCAAGTTACTTACCATTTCTGTGCCTCAGGCTACTACTTGGAACAATGCAGATAATGACAGCAACAGTCCTATTGGAACTTTGTGAGTTCCTGTCTATGAAGCACTAGGTACAGCGTTTAGGACATGCCAAGAAATCAACAAACATCATTATGATTGTCAGTTAGAAGGACAGCACAAACTTATTGAATGTGAAGTGGAAAATATGTGAGGTTTGTATATTAGGTAGGCTTATAGGCCCACCTGGGGAGGATTAATGATCAAGGCAGACAGGCCAAAGGGAAAAACAAAAACAAAAACAAAAACAAAAAGCAACCCTTTGGTTGGGATAGACAGAGAACTTGATGGTGGATCCCTCTCCCGGAAAGTAGTAGGGCCATTGTACTTGGGGACAGCCTTGGGACGTCAGCACCCGGGTTTGACTGTGGAGGTTTGACGATTACAGACTGGCCCGGGCCGGCTCGGTTCTCCGGCGAGGGTCCTGGGGTGTGCGTGTGAGAGTGCGTGTGCGTGTGCGTGTGCGTGTGCAAATCCCAGAGGCGCAGCCCGAGAGCTGGGGGCGGGGCGGGCCCGCTGGCCAAGTCGCCGGCGCCGGGCAGAGTCAGGCGCGGGAGCGAGGCGCGCTCGCAGAGCCCAGCTCCAGCACCGCCGCCGGCTGCGAGCCCGGGCACCGACTCCGCGGGACTCGCTTTGCGATGGGACACCTGTGGCTCCTGGGGACTTGGTGCCTTTGCGGGCTGCTCCTGTGTGCCCTGGAACTCCGCTCAGGTAACCCGTTCGGGCGCTAGGGAGGCGAGCAGTAGAGATCCGTGTGGACACCACCCCTGCTCTGAGATCTCTGGGGAAGAGGCGGGACCACCTGGCACCTGCCCTGGGCTGAGGCTGTGAGTCCTGCTGCATGGGCATCCCGGGGGCCTGGGGACCTGGAAAGCAGGACAAACGGACAGAGACAGAGAGGGACATAGCGACAGAGACAGTGACAGGGACACAGAGAAAAAGACATATAGAGAAAGCGAGAGATTACTTTTAATTCATCATTGTTGCTGCTTGAATTATGGACACTCCACCACCAGCACCAAGTGACACATTTTTGAGGACTGAAATGTGGTCAGTCCTCAAGGACTGAGGTGTGAGAACTGGAAAGTAGCAACCTGTGTCTCTTGGGTCCCTTTGGCCACCGAAGACAGGGCACTATCCCCCAGTAGGGCAGGAATAGGTCTTTGTGGCCAGTGTCAGTCATTTCCAGGGGCAGCTGCCCTGTGTCTTCAAAGTAATACCCAGGAGAGGGCTGGGAAGAGACTGATAAGATAAGAAATTGGAGTTGTCTGTGGAGATAAGGAGAGGATGAACCTGAGATAGGTGAGGAGCAGCACCGCCTGGAGATAGGATCCAGCTCCCTCCCTGGAGTTTCCTGCTCTTGGCTGTTGGCTGCCCTCAGTTATGAGTATTGTGGAAGCAGGAACACCTTGTAGCTCTTGGCAAAGACAGACCTGAAGTGCAGAGGCTTTGGGTCTGACAGCTGGGAGCTGGTCTTCTTTATGTTGGAGAGCTTCTGCTATTATAGGTGAAGTCCACACTAAACATTTTTCAGGCAGGAATGAACCATACAATCATAATTCCCCTTAACCTTTTCTTATGCTTCCATTTCAAACAATTAATAATTTCTGTGGTTCTTCTTCGCATCCCCACTTAAATTATTCTACCTACTCTGAGAATTTGTTTTAGGACTCTCGTAATTACCATATCTGTACAGTTTAAGTAGAAAATAAAGACTTCTTTCCATTGTGTATCTTTGAGTTGTTTTAATTGCAGGACTCCAAAGAAGCAGTGAACTCATCCCTATATTTGCACAAGTGGCTCTGCTCCCTCTGTCTAGAAGTCTCTTCATCTTTTTGATGGTATTTCCAGTCTAGCTAATTTATTTTTGTCCTCCAAAATGTGGCAGGAGCATCCATTCTTTCTAGAAGCCAATGTGAGCCAAGCAGTGTGGGTGAAATGGTCTTTCTGAGTCACCCATGGCCCCTGTGCTTTCTTCTGTCCCTCTGTACTGTTTGAGCTAAGCATTCAGAAAGTTAGGACTATTAACATTTCTGTATCCCCAGGAAGCTAACACAGTTTGTTGAATGAATTAGTGACTTTTACATTAGGAAGTTGACTATCATCAGGAGGCTAAAAAAGATCCCAGAAATTGTCTTTCTTGAAGTATTATTCTGTTGCAGAAAATAATTTCTCTTAAAACCAACATTACTTTTTGTATCTGGTCTAGTCCTTTAACTTACCTAGCATTGCATTTCTTATGTGCTTTTATAATGACCTATTTCTCCACATTGGCTGCTGTTATGTGGGCTACTGATCTGGATCTGCATTTAGCAGAGCACTCCATGAAATTAAGGTTTTAATAAATGTTTTATATAGCATGGTAGGTAAGTGATGAAAATGATCATACATTATTCTTACTCTTGGTAGCACCTAAGACAGTGCTTTGCACAAAGCCAATGAGTATGAACTAAGTTAATGACTTTAACTCCTTGTCAAACCATTGGTTAGTAGCAAAGCCAAAAATAAAACCTGAGTGTATTTTATTTGCAGTCCTGTAACGTTCACAATGTTTTTCTTGCAATATTGTGATATGTTGTATAAAATTTGACACTTGAAAGAAGAACTTGATGATTTCACCTCTACTATACTTTAATGTCTTTCAGATGGCTCTGAAATAATTCCCAAAGTCGCAGAAGTAATGCCCAAATATGGTAGCATAAATGGAGCAACAAGGCTAACTATTAAAGGGGAAGGTATGGTTGTGTTTTTGTTGTTGTTGTGTTTTGTTTTTTGCCAAGGTTTCAAATAGTTGTATTTAAAAACTATTTCACATTTAGAGCTTTATGGTTAAAACAAAAAACAATGGAGTTGTTTTTTCACTTGGCCAAAATAATAAAACTCTGTCCCCTTTGATAGCTAATGAAATCCTCAGGAATCTCTATCAATTTGATCATCTCAATTCTTATTGTAATTACTTTCTTAACCAAGATCTGGATTAATGACTGAACTGAAAAGAACATAATTAACCCAACTCTGCAATTATGCTTTATTTTTCATGGGCCTAACAACATTTAATTTATTTTTATATTAAATGAAACATGTTGGGAGTGTTAGGGTAGAATGTTAGTAAGAGGGTATGATAGAGACTGTTAGTGAAACAAGAAAGACAATAGAAAGCAACACTGGATTCCTTCTCCTACCACCCAACTCCAGGCTTCATCAAGGCATGGTTTAGGTGTGATTCCTTTTCTCCTTGCCTGGTCTTGGGATGAAAATGCAGGAGGCAATCAGTAAATATATTTAATGAGCAGCTATTCCTAGGATTACATAGAAATATGTGGTTCTTTCAGCCATAAGGCTTTTGCAATATAAGTGATAGTAGTCTTCAGATACTTATGAATATTTCAAGAATAGGAAAGAAACATTTACAAAGAATATTAATGAAATTTATTATTTGGGCTTTAAAATAAGAAATGAGAAGTTTTTGGAGTCAGTTAACAAAGCAAGGCATTTAATTATTCTGTATTACATTGAATGTTATTTAATACTTCTAATATTTCTGTAGAAATCAATCTCTCAATGATATACTTAAAATGGTTTATGCTTTTACATTGTGAACAATATATTCTGAATTAAAGTGCTATTTTTTAGAGTTAACAACTGTAACAAATGTATTTGGTAAAGATTATTTTAAAGATGCCTTTGACCATAACTTGTAATTTGCTGTTAAGATGGTGTGCTTGAAAGCTACTGGGTTTTAAATAGAAATTTAAATGCCATGAGAGAAAGGCTTGGATTCAAAAAACAAAACCAAAAACATCCAGCCATTTTTTCCTGTTTTTAGAAGCCATGGCTTGAGTTTAAGCACCTAGACTCAGATCATCCTTAGTTAGAAATAACAAAAACCAAAAAACATTCTATTCTTAAGACATTTTGGAAGGGCATCTTTTTAAATCTAGCTATAATCTTTGCTCTTGTGTGTAAGATCTAAGGCAAATAGTCTCAGGACTCTTAATTATGAAGTACAAATATCATGTTCAATTTCTGGTTTTCCCATCAGTCCCAATTTCTGGTTGATTTTAGTGGACACTTACAGAAGAGTTCAATCCTATTTGAATTGCAGATACCTGCACCCTTATTTGGATTTGTTTCCCCTGATCCTTGCTTTAACTACATACTGCAAGTGACTAGAAATGTGTTCACATATGTATTTCTCAGAGGCTGAGTCTAAATACGATTTTATTGCTTTTCGGAAGCAGAAAATAGAATGTTGGTTGTCAGGAGCTGGGAGAAGGTGAAAATGGGGTGATATTGGTCAAAGGGTAGAAAGTTTCAGGTATGCAAAATGTCTAAGTCTTAGAGATCTACTGTATAACAAAGTGCCTGTTTTTAACAATACTAAAGTGTATACTTAAAATTTTGTTAAGAGGGTAGGTCTCATGTTTCATGTTCACATCACAAAAATAAATAGGAAGTAGAGCAGAAGGAAACGTTGGAAGTGCTAGAAGTGTTTATGGCATTGCTTGTGGTTATGGTTTCATGAGTGTATACTTATCTCCAAACTCATCAAATTGTACTTATTAAATATGTACAGCTTTTTGTAAGTCAATCATACCTCAATGAAGTATTTTGAAATAAATAAACAATAAATACATAAAAGGTTATTTTAGTGTAGGTTTTTGGGTACCCATGATATGTATAGAATGTGTAGAAAGCAAAACATACCAGAGCTCCTATAGCTACATGAATGAACTTGAACAAAGTTTATTTGGAATGACTACATTCACATAATGCATCAATGTTTTCTCTGATAAATATATTCTCCACTTTTAGAATAGCATGCAGTTCTAACTTACCAATCATACAAGAACATCTTTCTTTCTTTCTTTCTTTCTTTCTTTCTTTCTTTCTTTCTTTCTTTCTTTCTTTCTTTCTTTCTTTCTTTCTTTCTTTCTTTCTTCTTCTTTCTTTTTTTTTTTTCTTTTTTTGAGACAGAGTCTTGCTGTGTCTCCCAGGCTAGAGTACAGTGGTGTCATCATACCTAATTGCAACCTCAAACTCCTGGGCTCTAGCAGTCCTCCTGCCTCAGACTTCCACATGCTGGGACTACAGGCACACACACACCGCACCCAGCTAATTTCTTTATTTTTTGTAGAAATGAAGTCTTGATCTTGCTCAGGCTGGTCTCAAATTCCTGGTCTCAAGCAATGTCTTGGCCTCCCAAAGTGCTGATATTATAGGCATGAGCCACTGCGCCTGGCTTAAGAACATTTTCTGAATGGCATTCTATATTCTAGATGACTACTTAAATGTTGGCCCCATATTACTTTCAAAAAAATTTTTTTTTTTGTAAAAGTCATTATGAAAAAAATAAGCTATTGTAGAAACGCTTGACTTAGAAAGTGAGTTCTCTGAGTACCACACAGCAGAAAGATCTACTGTTAACATCTGGTGTACCCAAATGACATACTTTTGAATTTTTCCAAACATGATACAGTATTGACCTGTAAAAGCAAGAATTTACTACTGCACTACTTTGTTCAAAAGAAGCCAAAGATAGATGATTTTACAATTATAATGCCCAAGCAAAAGTGTTTTAGGCAATTGCGTGATCATAGAGATTTTTAATGATATTTCCTTCTAAGATGACTGGTTTGATGAGGAACATTATCATTTTGATAAGTTCTGGGTATTTGCAACTATATTAGTTTCATTACTTTATAGTCATCTCTTGTATTTTTCAATTGTCTTCTTTGACATTTATCATGTTTCTCTTTATTTAAAAAAATCCGTAAGATGGGAGGAGTAATATTTTACTTGGCTCCTTTTTCTAGCTATTTCCCTTACAATGTCTGGCATCTACATTTTTTGCTGAAATGAAGTGTTGAATTATATAATTTTTACAATATTATGGAAAGCACATAGACTTTGGTCCAGTCTGACTACCTTTCAATTCCATCTTTGCCACATTGCATCATGTGACTGGGGGCCAGTTACTAATACCTCTCTAAGCCTCAGCTTCCTCATCAGTAAAACGAGCTAGTAATTCCTACCTCTTGGAACTGTTGTGAATATTGAAAAGGATGATGTATCTAAGTTACCTGTTATATAATATATGCTCTGTAAATTAGAGATTTTTTATTTTTATTATTTTTTGCATTTATGTTATATGCCTAGTTTAATTCTTTAAAAACTGTCTTCCAGTGGGGAGGAATGGCAGGGGCAATATATGTAACCCTAACAATATTTGTACCCCCATAATATGAAAAAATTAAAAATTAAAAAAAAAGAAGGCAAAAAAAAACTGTCTTCCATACTTTACACTGTATCTTTCTTTCCTAATGTTTTGAATGTCACAACTTTTAAGTAGGTTAATAAACTCTCAAGCCTTCTTTTTTAAACTAAAGAAACCAGGTTTTTAAACTAGGCTGCATTGTACACAACAACTGCTGGCTTTAACAACACTGATAATTTCCTTAATAGCAGCACAGGCGTTACTTTTGGATTGCTGCTATCAGAAGACCCAGGTTTGCGTGCCTGGCAATTCCTGTCACCAGTTTTTCTGCAAAAGAAAAAAATACATTACAACATGTCAGGAATTTCCATCCGAAGCCTCCACCTTTTTCTGTTTCCAGGGTACACCCAACCCTTCCTGTAATCTCTGTGCTTTGGAGTACTTCCAGAAGTGTCTTCTTTATACCCAATTATTTGTTTAGAATTATACTTTTTAATTTATTTTTTTATTTTTTTTTAGAGATAGAGTCTCCCAGACTGGAGTGGAATTATACTTTTAATTAAAATTCTTTTTTAGAGTAGTTCCTTTGTGTTTCTTTTTAACTCTGGAATTAGCTAAAAATTTAAAAATATTTATATACTTATTTGTTTGAACAAAAATTAATGATGAAAATATTTACAAATCTTGTCGATTTGGTTCATATTAATATTTCCTCATAGATTTTACTCGTAGGACATTTTCAAATATACTATATATTTTTGACATTATAGCAGCTCCTAAGCTAAAAACAATAGCATCTTTTGTTGATATTATTTTTCAGAATGGCAGTTGTGTTAGGAATGCTGAAGAACAGATCTATGTTACCATATCATTGATGTGACATATACCAGATAGGAAAACAAATATATATATCACATCCTGAACCACATCACAAGTAAAACTTTCCATTCTTTAGTTATTAATAGTTGCCAGCAGCCCTCTGTGTGTTCCAAACTCAATATGAACTCGAAAGATAAGCAGAAGTTGGCAAAAGGAAAGAGCAGGTTTATAAGTGGCTTGCATTGCTGTGTGTTCATATGTCTTCTTGCAATTCTATTTTAGTAGTAACTGTCTTTCTAGATCAAAACTGCAAATTCAATGCAAATACCTTTCCCATGTTAAATTGGTACTTATATTTGTCCTTTAGCCTATGATGGATGAGTCATTTGGTTAAGGTTTACCAGCTTAGAGGAATAAAGTGATGTTTATTAAAATCCCTACCTTTGTTGAGTTTCTGCTTACTTTTTCTACATAGAAAGGAAAGGGTAGGCTAGGAGCTCAGCACATAGGGGCTAGAGGAAGTTACACTGGGTAACAAGTAATAGCGTTGGCAATTACAGCCCAATTTGAGATTCTGGCCTCCCACTTACTGATTCTGTGTTATTTTTATAAAGGGATATTAATGCTGAGCCTAAATGTCAAGATTTTTGTGACTAATAACAAGAGCAAATATCTATTGAGCTCTTAGTAGATGAGCCA